TTCTTCTTCTTCTTCTTCTTCTTCTTCTTCTTCTTCTTCTTCTTCTTCTTCTTCTTCTTCTTCTTCTTCTTCTTCTTCTTCTTCTTCTTCTTCTTTTTAAGTAAAACAGATAAATCTGAGTTTTCATGCGGTTGTTAAGATCCCACAGTAAGTAGAACTGAGCTTTAAAACCACAACGTTTTAGCAGAAATAACAAGAAAACGTGATAAAAACATTACTGTGAAAGGCTCAGATCATAGGCATTGGGTGCTGGAATCGCAGGACTGCAACAGCCCGAATCCCCTGTGGCTGTCCCTGAGCTCAAGCCTGTTTCCTTCCAACTTGATCTGCACACAGCTGGACAGGAACCCAGGCACTGCACAAATAAATCACTTTCCTATGTCCCCGGAAGTCCTTCGCTCTGACTTGTGGGAAATGTAGTTCCGACCACGATGACATCACAAGAAGGGGCTGTGGATACCGAACTTCCGCGTCAGTCTTCAAACTTAGCTTCTCCCCAAAGTTAGGCGAGTGTCCTGCTCAGCACTGGGCTTGGATCTCTGACATGGAGGTTGGTGCAGGGTGCAGCGCCGTCCTGCAGATCTGAGGGACTGTGCACGGTGGCGGGTCCAGCGCGGAGGGAGGGAGCTGACTTGGGCTGGTTGGGAGGCAGGAGAAGCTGACCTGGGGGTGCTGTGCTGATCTAGGCTGGGCCACTGCACTTGCCTGCGGGTTTGTCAGGGGAGGGGGCGTGATGCCAAAGCCATATGTTGTGAGTGTCCAGTCTCTCAGGACGCCCTGCTGCTGCCCGTGTCCACCTGTGCTTCTGGGACTGGAGAGCTGGCTCAGTAGTCAAGGGGTGGAGAAGGTTGGAAAGAACAGGATTGCAAGGGCTATGGGTATGTCACTGCTGCTGTCTCAGGAGCTCATGAGAGCTCACTTTCCTGCTTGGCTGGGGAAACATGCTCTTCCTAGTGCTCCTCGCTGGCATGGCTGTAGTCAGATTTCTCAGTCCTGGCCATGTGGACATCTAATTCCTCCTATACATTATGCCTGGCCTATCACTCCTGGTCTGAGCTCACAGAGGTTCCTATGGTTCCTGGTGTCCAGAGACAGAGTCCTGCCAGGGTGATTGTTGTATGAGATGTTAATTAGTACCCCCACCCCCACCCCCTTTGTTCAGTGATTTGCTATGGATGCCTCCTGTTGAATAGGAATTCCTGACGTACACTCCTGTGACTTGAACCATCACATTAATACCCCTGTGGAGCCACATAATAATCTTGTAATTGGTATTAACCCCTCATTGTACAATCCACATATTTACAGATTTTGAACTTCAGAGTGGAAGGGACTAGACAATAATACTGCATCAATCCTGTTTGATACTGTGTGGTATCAGATATTTTCACCTTTGAGAGAGGATTTAGTGTGATGACAGAAAGGTACCTCATGATTGACAGGAGGGGGCTTGCATATTTCTGAAAGGGAGGAGACAAACTGCCCTGCTGATCTGGCGGGCTGTACATTGTCTTCTCATCACACACTTTCTTCTGTCTCTTCACTTTATCAACAGTGTCTAAACTCCCTCAAACATTCGGTCACCGAATGTGGTTTCCAGGTCCACTGATGCTTTATGAATAGTTCTAAAACGATTTACCCAAGTTTTTGTGCTGTCCTAGAGACAATAAAAGATAAATTTGGAAGGCTATGGCTCACTCACAGTCCTTTGATTTGCATATAGAAGCTTCCTCCTCATGTGAAAACTGAAGCTTTAGTCTTAAAGGGAAAGAAGAGTAGTTCAATCTGGAACAATCTGAGTGACCATGGCCTGGGAACAAAGATTTAGGTTATCCAAAATAACATGCTCCAACATGGAAACAGTTTCGTGGGTTTACAGAAAAAAATTATTAATCAAGGCAAATTTAAAATATATTGGTGGGTACCCAAGAGAGGCAGGTACTATGAGATGGGGGACCTAGTCTATTTAAGATACTATCTGGTGACATTCTTGGCTTTTGGGTTGAGGGAAGCTAATGTTCTGCCAAGTCAGTGGATTCTAAAAGTTTCTTATCTATTGTCAGCAGCTATTTGGTCCACTACAGATTATTGCAAAGAATGAATGTTTCTGAAGGGTAAAAGTAAACCAAGATAAGGTAACTACTCTTTGAATCTGCAAAATTCCAGTCTCTCCACAGTTCTGAAATTCCACATGGTCCATCAGTCTCAGCAGACACAGACTCCTTCCAAGAGTTTTTCACTCACAGTCAGACAATCCTCTTATCAGTAATTTTCCTCCACAGCCCCTCCCCATCTCATGTGCTCTTGCATATATCACCCTCTTCAGTCTAACCAGTGTTTGTGCTGGAGACTGGCTTATGACATTGAAGTCTACTCTTAAGAAACACGGGCTTCAAACCACTTTGTCCTATCTACTAGAATTCTCAATGAGTTTCTAACCATATATAAAATAATAGACACTTCTTAGTTAATGTCTCTAATGTGTAGGGAAAATAGTAACATTCTGTGAGGTGGGAAAAGCACACTGCCTTGTACAACAAAATAGCTTCCTTATGATGTAGAGACAATACAGCACCATGCTCACATATATCCTACAGGCCCCAAATATTTATATATGTATTTTGAATTGAGCATCTGCTGTGGCACATCCCTGTCATCTCTACATTTCAAGCAATGAGGAAACCCCAGAGTTCAAAGTAATTCACTGCTTCCTAGCAAATTCAAGGATAGCCTAGGCTACATTTTCTGCTCTTGCATTAAAACATTTTGGTCAGTGAGTCCAATGATACTTTTCAAGTGCAATGGCATGTTTTGAGTTGAAAAGTCTGACTCAATTTGTCTGGCAGACTCTATCAAAAACTGTATTCAGTTGTTTTTTTGTTTGTGGTATGTTGACAGCAAAAGAAAGGAATAATCCTGAGAAGCATGGGTTCGGATCATTTTCAGCTTTGGAGTTGAAATTTCTGTCACTGAGTCCAAGGACACTTTTCAACTTCCATAGTTATGTCCGTCCATAATTAGTGCCCCAGTGTTCTCCCCAGTTTCCTTCATGAAGTTGTATATATCCTGAATTCTCTGTGTTGGTACCCTACTGTGTCCCTGCAGGGGTGTTTGTGACCTTCATGGACAGTAAAATAACTAGGCAGGGGAAGCAGGAAGGTGGTTCTGCCCAACAAAATTCAGTAGCAGGTGTTGATTCAAATGTCAGGAGTGTGACCTCTAGGTCTTTATTTTAGACACATTTATGCACAAGCACAATTAGATGAAAATTCTTCTGGTGATAATTAGCTCAACCCTGTATTCACAACAAAGCATACTTTGAGGAACAAAGTAACCTAAATACAGATCATAGGTGACTACAAGGATAAAGTAAAGTCTTGTAAAGTCTATACAGATAAGTTCTATAGATTGAATAAGAAAAAATGGCTTTTAGAATGGATGAGAAAAACTAATTTATAAGCGTCTGGAGGAAGGTCTGTGGCAGAATCAGCTCTAACCACACAGATAGAACAAACGTCAGCAGGCTTAAAATCCACTCCAAGCTTCTGGACAGAAAACAGGCTTTGCATTCCTTCGCCTTGAAGAAAGAACCCTGTATGCTTTAAATTCCAGGTTCCTCAAGTGAATGTGTGCATGCAAAGACCTCGGTGCCCCACACATGTTCCCACAAAGGTCATTTTTTACTTTCCTGGTTTCTGCAGTTACTCCAGGCTATGTAAAAATGTAAGAGGATTTAGAGGTAGGAGCCTCAGATGACAAAGGCATGTGGTGTTTGTCTTTATGGATCCGGACTATCTCACTCCATATGATCTCTTCTAGTTCCATCTATTGACCCGTGACGTTTATTTTCTGTATAGCTGCAGAGTGTTCCATAGTGTCTACGGACCACATTTTCATTATTGCTTTGTCAATGGAAGGATATTCGTGTCATTTCCATTTCCTAGATCTTATGATTAGAACAGCAGTGAACATGGTTAATCAGCTATCTTGGATTGAATGTCAGTTGCAATAAATAGTACAAAGAGTAGTATAGTTGGGGCATATAGATTTATCTTTAGCTTTTTGGAAATTGTCTGTAGATGGACACTTCCTGTCCTGACCATCCACTCCCTGTCCTGATAGCTGCTTTCAAATTACCACACAGAGACTTCATATTATTTGTAAATGCTGAACTGATAGCTCAGGCTTATTAATAACTAGCTTTTAGATTTAAATTAACCCATTTTTATTAATCTATGTTTTACCATGTGGCTCATGGCTTCACCTGTCCTCTAGCATGTCTTGCTTCCTGGGCAGCTCACTGGCGGATCCCCTGACTCCGCCCTCCTTCCCATCATTCAGTTTGGCTTTCCTGGCTAACTTCCTGTTCGGCTACCGGCCTGTAATAAATATTCAAAGTGTAGAAAGGGATTGTTCCACAGCAATTCTCTTTCCTGATTTCCAGAGTGGCTAACAGTTTGCAATCCCACCAATAGTGGATAAAGTTCCCTTCTCCCCACACCCTCTCCAGAATTATTTGTTAGTTGTTTTGTTGATCTTTTGCCATTCTGACTGGGGTAAGAGGAAATCTCAAAGTTGTTTAGATGAACAGTTTTTGAGAAAATTCTCTGACATTTTCATCCTCTTTTGAGAACTCTCTGTTCAGGTCCCAGGCTCATTTTGTAAATAGGTCCTTTGTTTAGTTGTTTTGGACTCTTTTTTGTTTGAGTTCTTTGAATTCTGGAGTTTACTTTGTCTGTCAGATATATAGGTGGCAAAGGTTCTCTTCTATTCTGTGGCTTTTTCTTCACCTGATTGATTGTTTTTTTAGCTGTACCTAACTTTTTAGTTTTATGAAATCGCACTAATCAATTTTTGGCCTTAATTCTAAGGCAAATCAAGTCCTATTCATAAAGTCCTTTCCTGTACCTATTTCAGGTGTGATGCTGCCTATGCTTCCTCCTGTCAGTTTCAGTGTTCAGGTTTTCACCCTTTAGTTCTTTGATCAGTTTACTGTTAGTTTTTCTATATAGTGATAGATCCAAATCTAATTTCAGTCTTCTTCCAGTGGACATCCATTTTCTCAGAAACGTTGGTTGAAGATGCTTTCTTTTCTCCACTGGATATTGTTGGCATCTTTGTAAAATTTAAATGGCTGAAGCTATTTATGCTCATGTTTAGGATTTTTATTTTGTTCTTTTCACCTGGTCTACATATCTGTTTGTTGTGATGCCCCCCCTTTTTTATTACTAAGACTGTGTAATATATCTGGAGGTCCAGAGTGGTCCTCCTTCTAACACTGTTCTTTTTCTCATGGTTATTTTGGCTATGGCTATGTGGGCATCTTTTATTATTCTTTATGAACTTTTGATAGTGTTCAGTTTTGTGAAGAATGAGATGTGGAATTTAACTGGGATTGCTTTGAATCTATAAATGGATTTTGGTAAAGTGGTTTTTTTTCACAATATTAATTCTACCAATACATGAGCATTGAATGTTTATTTTCTAATGTCTTTATCACTTTCTTCATTTGTTTAAAGTCTCTCTTTCAAAGGGCCTTGACCTCCTAGTTTCATTACTGTCAACTTTCACTGACCTATACAGATCTGTGTCTGTAAGACCTGGCATCTGAGGACCTGAAATAATGGGATAGACTACAGCTGTAGATTAATGCTGTAGACGACCTTACTTCAGTTTCAGTGTACTTTATACATGAATGTAACAAAACAATGATCCAAGGAAGGTTGTTTGAGTTTAGTTGAACATGATCAGAAAAACATGTAAATAAATGGGAAAAAGAATATACTAAATAATTCTAAATACCAACAGAGCAGCCCTTTCCCAGAACTTTCTCAGGACAGACCAATTTTAACACAATTGACTGGCACATACTATAGATTCTATTTGAGAAAGCACAGAACAAGGTGGAAAACTATATCCAGATTCAGAGTATATTTACCAGATTGGGTTCTATAGTAATGTTCTGACATCCAACAAGAACAAGCATATTTTAAATTAAATTTAAATGTTTGTCATGGGAGACAAAAAAAGTCACATCCAAGAACAATCCAAGGATCAGAATGCACCGGAGAAAAAAGGCCCTCTGCCCTTCTTCCTAGAGCTTCTCACATAGTTCCCCCAAGGCATTACTCACGATACCTTATTCTTTTGACTGTTCTGACACAGTCCCATATATTTTATGCTTTTTGAGGCTATTGTGAATGGGTATGTGTCCATGATCTCTTTTCTCTGGATGTTTATTGCTCATATATAGAACTATTGATTTGTGCAAATTGATTCTATATCATGCCACAATCCTGCATTGGTTTATATTTCTAGTCATTTTCTAGTAGAACTTTAGGGATCATTCATGCATATCATGTCATCTGCAAATTGGCATGGTTTGATTTCATTTTTCCTAAGTGTAACTCTCATCTTTAATGTGGGATACTATTCGGCTACATAAAAGGATGTAATATGGTCATTTGTGACAATATGGATAATGTTAGATTTCTGAATACAGAGTAAAGAGACAAAAGGCAGGAAAGAAGCTGACAACAGAGGTGTAGCTAGAGAGTTTTTCTCTCCGGGTCCCACCAAGCCCCAGCAGTCCGACAGCCCACTTATAAAATAAACACACAGATGCTTATACTATTTAAACTGTTTGGCCTAATGGCTCAGGCTTCTTATTAACTGTTCTTATATCTTAAATTAACTCATTTCCATTAGTCTATAAGTTTCCACGTGGCTCGTGTCTTACCGGTACCTTACATGTTGCTTGTCAAGGTGGTGGCTGGCAGTGTTTCTGCCTCAGCCTTCCACTTCCCAAAATTCTCTTCTCTGCTTGCCCCACCTATACTTCCTGCCTGGCTGCTGGCCAATCAGTGTTTTATTTATTAAGCAATCAGAGCAACACATTTGACATACAGAACATCCCACAGCACAGCAGAGACTGTTAATTTGTACTCACAGAGAGGGACGTGAACTCTCATCAAGTCCCACATTATGTGTGACTGTGATTGTGCTATCAGACTTACTTACCTATATCAGAAGCACATCTAGCTCTGATCGCTAGCACTGATCAACTGTACTTGGAGGTAAAACAGGATTCCTATGAGATTATGGGTGTCATTGATCTCAGTCATCCTAGAAAAAAAAATGCCTTTTGGGTCAGCCTGTCTCAACATTGGGAAACAGTGTGATAGAGAATGTGGAGAGAAAAGTGGGCTTTTTTTTTGTTTTGTTTTTTTCGAGACAGGGTTTCTCTGTGTAGCTTTGCACCTTTCCTGGAACTCACTCTGTAGGCCAGGCTGGCCTTGAACTCACAGATATCCTCCTGGCTCTGCCTCCTGAGTGCTGGGATTAAAGGTATGTGCCACCACCACCCAGTGAGAAAGGTGGGCTTTATGTCATAACAGTTTCCTTGTTCCCTGGCCCCTCATTGTACCCCTATAAAGGTTATAGCCATATTTTCCCTTGGTAGAACCCTCAGTTTCCTAGGGGATTGAGACTGCTCCTCACTGTGCGAGCTAATGAACAAAGTCCTGTTTGTTGAAGTTCAGACTCCTGTCCCTTTTCTGTCTTCTGTCTCTTTATGCTGTCTCAGAAATGTAGCACTGTCAGTCAGATGTTGAATCTAAAGAATTTTCAATCAAGAGAGAGATGTGATTTTTTATTCCATTAGCTGGTGACATCAGGAAGAAGAGGTCTGGAGAACCATGGATCAATGGATGTTCTTGTTTACTTAGATAACAGGAAGGAATGTTAAGGTACTGTGGCTGACCTGAACCTACAGAAACAAGGATTCCAAATGGATAGGTATGGAGTGGGAAGACCAGGGATGAGAAGTGAAGAAGAAAAAGACATAAAGATGACAAAAGAAATAGTTGGTACCACACAGTTTTATATTAACTGAAAACTCAAAGGCAAGGAAGTTTATTAAGAAATACAGCATGCTATATAGTATTACCAGGTGGTAAATGGTCAAGGTCAGCAGAGACTTAATCATACAATGTTGGTGATGAGAACACAGGATACCTTAGGAACAGCTGCCTTAGGACTGATAACCCCAGTCTCGAGAGAAGAGTTAGATCCCCCAGTAACTGCCACATTGCCTCCTTCATGGCACTGGATCCTGTGTCAGACTGGCCTGGCCCAAGGACACTGTTGAACAGGAACAGAGAACTATAGTTCCCATTGTCCTCTCATAGGTGCCTCTGAAAAAGCCTTGAGTCAATGTAAGTTGTCACATTGAATACACGTATTTCTAAATTTCCTAATTATAAATTTATTAAATTGCTTGTTATTCAATTTTGTCTGTGAGTTCTTCATTTATTCCTCTGCCCCTTGGCTGATCACGTCCCTTGGTGCACTGTCATTTGCATCATTCTCCACATGCTCAGGATCCCAGGCCTCACCCCAGAGTTGCTGCATCAGATCTACACCGTCACTGTATTTCTCATTCATGATTGTGTAGAATATGTTGAGAAATATCTTCTCCATCAGCACAGCTCTCTATTGTGAGAGATGTGTATAATGTGTGCTGTATTATAATACAAACATGGGACACTAAATGCATATTTTTTTCTAAACTTTAGTATTTATTCATTCATTTCCAGTGTAGGCGTGTTTTGCTAGTGTGCATGTCTAAGAGATTGTCTGAGCCTCTCGAGTGGAGTTACAGACAGTTGTGAGGAGCCATATTGCTTCTGGGAATCAAACTCGGGTCCTTTGGAGGAGCAGCCAGTCCTCATAATTACTGAGCCCCCTCTCTCGACCCATCATACTGATTCATAGATACACGCACTCTCTGTTTTATGGTTCTTAAAAGTATAATATTCATAGGAGTTTCTAGGACATTCTGCTATTCACTTTGTTTAAAGATCAGTTCCATGTAACATCACAATACTATATCAGACTTATTTTAGGGGTATTGCTTACATATATTAACAGTGCTTCTAGCTATCCTGTCATTCTTGATGACGTTTAGATTTGTATGTAGAAGCAGGTGATACCTCATGTTATTTATATATTATTGACAGTTTTAATGAATACAATGTGTGGTATTCATTCACTGTTCTTTATTTCAGGATGTCCTGTCATTCTGGGATGTAGCCATTTATTTCTCTGCAGAAGAGTGGGAATGCCTGGGCCCTGCTCAGTGGAATCTGTACAGGGATGTGATAGTGGAGAATTACAACAATCTGGTGTTCCTGGGTGAGGATCTCTTTCATCACAAATTCTTAATAATTGTCAGCATGAAGCTTTCTGCCTTTGTAGAATATATGATGGGAATTTGTACTTACAGTAGTGGGTGGTAATGTTAGAAATTAAGTGGAATGAGCAGGGTGTGTACACGTTAAAGAGACTGTCATACTCTTCAGTTTTATTATTTTTCCTTGTAACTAAGGAACATGAAGCTCAGGACCTGCAAATCCTAAATTCCTCCTAAGCATTCTGATGTGGCTGTCACACAGCACAGGAAGAGCCACTCCTCTATGACCCTTTATTGTAGCTTCTTATTCCCTGTGCACACAGTCCTGAAGAGGACATCTTATTCGCAGAACACACTAACAGTGTTGTTCCCTTTTCCCACAAACAGGTCTTGCTTCATCAAAGCCATACCTAGTGACATTTCTGGAGCAAAAACAAGAGCCTTCAGATGTGAAGAGACAAGCAGCTGCCACCATGCACCCAGGTGTGTAGGGATGAGAGGGGGTCAGTGGATAGAGCGGGAGGCCAACAGTGCACCAGAAATCTGGTCTTTATCCTGAGCATTGAGACATGAGGTGTTGGTGGAAATCATTTTTCAGGGATCTCTGTTTCTGTCCCTTGTTTACAAAGGAGGACATCTCAGAGGTTTATGATGCTTTAGTCTCCCATGCTTTGTTCTCCTCCCATGAGGTCAGCTTGTGTTTACGGTGACTCCAAAGCTCGGTCATTTCTAAGTGAACTTGACTTATTTTTCATTATATGATTATCTTGGGTATTTATCCTCTTCATAAAATATGTATAAAGAGTCCTGTCTTAAATCTTTGAAATATATAATTTAATATTGTAATGACAGTCCTCCGATTATGCAACTTAACTTTCATACCTTTCAAAACTAAAACTCTGTGTCAGAATACTTATAATTACATATACATGTGTTTTCCATGTTTGACTACTTTTACACTTTGTGTTTCTCCAGTCATAATGTTTATATATTTGTTTAAGGGACTGATTTCCATTAGCATAATACTCTTAAGGGTCTTCTTAACTCTTTTTGTTATGCCTTACTTCCATGTTTGTCTTTGATTAATATTCCTTTGTTTCTATGTTCTATGTTGTCAGGGTCTTCTTATTTCAGTGTAAGGTTATATGTAAGGTTCCAGCTATTATGTTTTTAAATTATGTTCCATTGAATACAGCTTCAGAAATTTGAATATAGCCTATCATTTACAAAGGGAAATGCAAGTATGATAATAAGTAAATGTTTCTGTTTTAAAAAATAAGCATTGTAACTATAAAGAATTTTGTTCAGCTCTCAATCATTTCTCAACCTTTTCTCACCAGGAAAAGAACAATACACAGACAAAGAATGTGATAAAACCTTTCATTGGAACTCACAACTTACTAACAATCAGAGGATTCATTTAAGAATGAAGCCCTATAAGTGTGAAGAATGTGGCAAGTCTTTTTGTTTCCCTTCACTGCTTTCTATACACAAGAGAATTCATACAGGAGAGAAACCCTTCAAGTGTGAAGTCTGTGGCAAGGCCTTCCATTCTCCATCATTGTTTTCTGTACACAAGAGAATTCATACAGGTGAAAAACGCTATAAGTGTGAAATATGTAACAAGGCCTTCCATTGCCCATCATTACTTTCTGTACACAAGAACATTCACACAGGTGAGAAACCCTACACATGTGAAGTATGTGGCAAGGCCTTCCATTGTCCATCTGTGCTTTCTAGACACAAAAGACTCCATACAGGGGGAAAACCCTATAAGTGTGAAGTATGTGACAAGGCCTTCCATTGTCCGTCAGTACTGTCTGACCACAAGAATATTCACACGGGTGAGAAACCCTACAAGTGTGAAGTGTGTGGCAAGGCCTTCCATGCTCCCCCTTTACTTTCTGCTCACAAGAGAATTCACACAGGAGAGAAACCTTACAAGTGTGAAGTGTGTGGCAAGGCCTTTCATACCCCATCACTACGTTCTGTACATAAGAGAATTCATACAGGGAAGAAAGCCTACAAGTGTGAAGTATGTAGTGAGGTCTTTAGCACTTCCTGGCAGATTTCCAGTCACTTGGTAATCCACTCTGGAGAGAAACCGTATAAGTGTGAGCATTGTGGAAAGGCCTTCTCTACAAAGTCATACCTAACTAAGCACAAATTACTTCACAAGATGGAGAAACTTTATAGATGTGAAGAATGTGGCAAACAGCTCAACAGTTCTAGAAGCCTTCAAGAGCATCAAAGAATTCATTCTGGAGAGAAACCCTACAAGTGTGAAGAATGTGGCAAAGACTTCAGAACTTACACAGCACGTTCTAGACATCGGACAGTTCATATTGGAGAGAAATGTTACAAGTGTGGAGAATGTGGCAAAACCTTTTACCAGTCTTCTGGTCTTAAGCAACACCAAAGAAATCATCTGTAAGAGAAAGCACACTGATGTGAAGAATGTGCCAAGGCTGTTTGGATGTACAAAGAACTTTTAAAACACCTGAAATCCATATTGGAGAGAAATGCCACAGTTGTGAAAAATATTGCTAACTGTTTAATAAGCTTTCTAGTATTTCTCAGCACAAGACAGTTCAAACTGGAGTTGACTAGTACGAATTTTCATGTGTTCATAAAATGTTTTACACTTCTTCAGACTGTAAAAGGTATCAAATTTTTCATTTTAAATAGAAGCCTTAAGAGTAGGGAAAGTGATAAACTTACCTAGCACAAAAGAAGCAGAGTGGAAGGCGGCCATACACATGTAAAGAATGTAGTGAGTTTTCCACTGAATGAATGCTTTCTGACCTCTATTGAATTTATCCTGAAGAGAAACACTACAATTGTGAAAGGTACAACGATGCTTTTGAAGGCTCCTCATAAACAAAAAAGAAGTTCTCATACTTAGCATCACCCCTACAACTGTGAAGAGTCATCATTCTGTGTTGCCGGGGAGCTTCTCTCCAGGCTCCACCAAGCCCCGCAGTCCCACAATCCACGTATAAAATAATTACTCAGACACTTATATTACTTATAAACTGTATGGCCGTGGCAGGCTTCTTTCTAACTGGTCTTATATCTTAAATTAACCCATTTCTATAAATCTATACCTTGCCACGTAGCTCGTGGCTTCCCAGCATCTTTACATGCTGCTTGTCCTGGCGGTGGCTGCAGTGTCTCTCCGCCTCAGCCTTCCACTTCCCAGAATTCTCCTCTCTCCTTGTCCCACCTACTTCCTCCCTGGCCACTGGCCAATCAGTGTTTTATTTATTGACCAATCAGAGCAATTTGACATACAGACCATCCCACAGCAATTCCGACCTTGCTATACAAGAGTCTCTGCAAACATAGAGTATGCCCAGGCCTTTAGTGGTTCTTTATGACTGTTTCCCCATCATAGAATTCCTATTGGTATAGTGCACTACAAATGCTAAGATTATGGCAAGGCCTTTATCTGACTTCCATATCAGAAATATCCTCTGAGACTTTTTACTAGTAAAAAAGTCTACACATCCAAAACCGTGGGAAATCCTTCAATAATATCACTAATCATAAACACAAAACTCCACATATCCAAATAATGTGAAAAAGCCTTCAATGATATCACCAATCAACACAAAAGTCTATACATCCAAATAATTTGAAAACACTTATGTAATGTTTTTAATCTTCATTAACACCAAAGAATATTCACTGGTGAGATGTTCTACAAATGCAGATGTCTTGTTTCTTTCTGCTCTCAACTCCACACAGACAAACAATATGTAATGGAGTCTCAATTGAGTGAATGCCTGGATCTGATTGACCCTTGGGCATGTCTGTGGGTCTTTTTCATGAATTCTATTTGACATAAGAGAATCTGGACCACTGGATGATGGCAGTGCACCTTGTGTATGCCACTCTTGGTGACTTAGTCTTGGGTGTGTAAGAAGAAAACGTAAAGTAACCATTCCTCCATGGTTTCTACTTTCACCTACTGCCTCTGTATTTTAGCTGTGTTCTCCTGCCCTGCCTTCCATGGATCATGAAATATAGCCAGTGAACTGAAATAACCCCCTTTCTCCCCTAAGTAGTTTTTGGTCATGGTGTTAATCACACCAACAGAAATAAAACTAAGTAAACAATATGTGACAGCTTTCTACTCTGCTTTATACATTAGTTATCAACCAGAGCCTTCATAATTGAGACAATGTCACAAAGCTTTATGATTTAATCAACCTTAACTACACTAGAGCATTCATAGTGTAAAAATGCCATGCTGTTACACAGAATATTATAAAGATTTTACTGTGGGTTTTTTTTTTTTTTTGGTTTTTTGAGACAGGGTTTCTCTGTGTAGCTTTGCGCCTTTCCTGGAACTCACTTGGTAGCCCAGGCTGGCCTCAAACTCACAGAGATCCGCCTGGCTCTGCCTCCCAAGTGCTGGGATTAAAGGCGTGCGCCACCACCGCCCGGCGATTTTACTGGTTTTTATCAACATTTGAACACCACAAAGGTCAAACTGCAGAGGAATCCTGTGAAAAGAAATGAAACTCAATTTAAGAAAATCTACTACAAACTCCAATGATCGGTTATTTGACATAACTTCACATCAGGAAATTTGGTTACTGAGAAGCCCTACAAATACAAATGATGTGGAAAGCTTTTGATTTAAACTCCATTCTGACTAACTATGAGTGAATTCACATTATGTAGAAACCCTACATGTGACTCTGGCAGTAACTGTGTACAACATATAAACCTCATGAGAGTTATAGCAGAAAATATTGGATGAAGGCAAAAAGCATAGCACAGTCCTTTATCCTCCCTTAAAAAGTAATGACTAGAGGGGAATTAGTGTAAGAGATCAATACTGTTAATAAGGAATGTTGAAAAATGTGGGTATTGCTTGGAATTAAAGTGACAGTGCTGTTTGATATGCTGAAAAAAATAACTCATTAGTGTCAGAATCATGCAGATCACTCAAGATAGGATATCAATTAGACTTGTAAACTTAAACAAAGCTAACCTTTCTGTTATTCAATCACACGACTATGGAAAGGTCACTTTTTTTTTTTTTTGCTTTTTTTGGGGGCGCGAGGGTGGGGGGTGGGGGAGATTGTTGCCTGTTTGTTTTTGTTTCTCTGTGTTACAGCCTAGCTGTCCTCTACCTCTCTTTGTAGACCAGGCTGGATTCGAACTCCCAGAGATCCACCTGCCTCTGCCTCTAGAGCACTGGGATTAAAGGCATGTGCCACCACGCTCAGCTGTTGTTTGTTTTTAAATGCTGTAAAACCAAATGATTACATTGTCCAGGATATTGGAGATTCCAAGAGTATGAAGGAAGGTAGTACACAACCTGCTATGGAAAGCTACAAGCAATGAGTGGAGCATGCCGAGGCAAGAGGCTATGTGACTTTCAGGCAAAACTGAAAGCGTGGGGCACATAAGTCCTTTGAAGTCAACACCAGTGCAGCAGTTTCAGAGAGCTGTCACATTATGTATTTGCCCTTCTGAATTTTGGGCTGATCCTTGCTGTGTGGCATATCTTCCATTTTAGAATCAGAATGTTTGTTCTGTATCAGTACATGATGGAAGTGGTCAGTTTTTATCTTGTAGGACCTCACAGATAAGAAACTGCCTTGAATCTCAGATTGGATATGGACTGGGATCTTTTATACTCTTGAAGTTGTTAAGTACTTTATGGACCTTTCAAATTGGATTCTAATTTATGGATCAAATGATAAATATTTGGGTTGAATGAAATATTATGATTTAAAGTTATGTAACTGGAGTAATCATGATGTCTTTGAAAAGAAATTTAATGGCCAGCAATACCCACAACCATATTTGTATTCATAATAAAAAGAAGGAATTACCTCTAAAGATTGTCCTCTGACCTCCATTTTTGGGCCCAAATACATAAATACATATGTTTGCGCACACATACAAAATAAACTTAAATGAGGTTTTCAATGTGTATTTTTGTTTCATATAGACAAGGGACGTAGAAGTAAAGCTTAAATCTCAATTGTTAATGTGATGAGATGATAATCACATGAGAAGCAAATTTCTGGTCATTCCTTTGCAAGGGTTATCTTGATTAGTTTACTTGAGGTCAGAATACCTGTTGACTGTGGGAGGAAGCATCTGTTTGATTGGGATCCTGCATGGTATAAGAAAAAAAGAACACCCTGAGAGCAAACCATTGTTCTATATCCTTATGCCTCTTGACTGGATGGAACATGACCAGCTGATTCAAGCTCCTGTTGTCTTAAAATTCTCACGATGTGTAGTGGCTTGAATAAGAATTTCCCCTAAGGGCTCATATATTTTAATGCTTATATATGCTTCCTAGGGGGCCAGCCTCCAGACAGCTCAGGGCTCAAAGGGAAATCCACAGCATTGGCGAGTACTAGACATTTCTATTGGAGGGTGTTAGGGAAAAAGACACGTCTTTTGCATTCTCTAGTCTTTCTTTTCCTGGTAATGTCCTTCTCTCATTCTTGATGTTTTCCTTCTAACTCTATTGATGTTTCTCTTCTAGTTCTTTCTAACTCTCATTCTTGATATTTTCCTTCTTACTCATTTTAACTCTCATTTGTGATGTTTTCCTTCTAGCCTCTTTTAACTCTATCTTTATTCTTTCCCTTACAGCTTATATACCCCAGCAAAATCTTTCACACAATATAAAAATTACAATGTTGTTACATTTTGTTTTTCGAGTAAATGATTACAATGAATACAAGACAAACAGTAAAAAACAGAATGCTTTCCATTACATGATTAAACATTTTATATATTACAGGTGAAAAACAAATTATCCCAAGAACTCTCATACATTCATATCCAAGCAACTTGTTATAGATTAGCTGTCTCGGTAAGTAAGGTATTCTTCTCAGCTTCTCAGTCAGGTCTTTTGCTGGCAGGCTGCATTTTGCAGTTACAAAGAAAGGGCCAATTACTTTAGTACTTATCTTGAAAGGTAATCTTATAAGGAATCTTAAAGGATCACAAGTCTAAACTTTTTTTTTTTTTTTTTCTTTTTGGTTTTTCGAGACAGGGTTTCTCTGTGTAGCTTTGCGCCTTTCCTGGAGCTCACTTGGTAGCCCAGGCTGGCCTCGAACTCACAGAGATCCACCTGCCTCTGCCTCCCGAGTGCTGGGATTAAAGGCGTGCGCCACCAACGCCCGGCTAGTCTAAACTTTTATATATGAAAAAGAATCAGCCAGTTCTACTTTAAATCTTTAGGGTACATATCCATTCATCAACAATTTTTTATATCAGGAGATTGAGGGCAAAAATGGGTATAAGAAATTAATCATCACCTTTGGTCATCAACCAATCATAGCAAGAAAGGTGCATCAGTTAGTAATAATTGGGCTGCTTTGTTTTTATTCCCTGACCTTAAAGAATTCCACATTCAACTATGTGCCTTTCTAAAACTTTAGATTATCTTCTTGGGTTTTTCACCTCAAAGCTATTTGGCAAAAAAGTCTTAGCTTAACTTTAAGTTATTTTAAAAGTTTTGTTTCACCCATGATGCACTCTAAAACCTGTGAACACATCTCCCAACATTAAGGTAAAAAAATTTTAAGCTAGCTGGGCTAACTAGGACTCAATTGTTTTCTTAATCATTAACCTAAGCCACAGTCTATATGGCTCCTCAATAGAAACTTATGTGTTGTAGCAGTGTGACACTTCCTTATTTATATTTTAACTCATCAAATCTCCATTTAAACTAACATTATTATTATTATTATTATTATTATTATTATTATCATTTAGACAGTACATCTTAGGAATAAATCATCTTCATAATAATCTACAGGTAAATGCCCAGTGGAACAGGATGTTTCCATGAGATAAACATACTACATTACAGGCAGTGATGATCATGTGGGGTTCTTTTGTTTATGTAGTGGATTACATTGACTGATTTTTGTATGTGTAACTATCCCTTCATTTCTGGGACAAAGCCTACTTGGTCCTGATGTATGATTTCTTTTATGTGTTCCTAGATTGGGTTTGCAGGAATTTTATTGAAAAATTTTGCATCTATGATCATAAGGGGTGTTTGTCATTTTCTTTGTTGAATGTTTGTATGGTTTGGGTATCAGGGTGACTGTGACTTCAAAATGAATTTGGCAATGTTTCTTCTGTTTCTCTTTTGTGGGGTAATTTGAGGAGTATTGGCCTTAGCTATTCTTTGAAAGTCTTATAGAATTCTACACTAAACCCATTTGACCCTGGGTTGTTATTAGTTAGAGATACTTTCAATGACTGCTTCTATTTCCTTACCGGTTACAGATCTATTTAAATTGTTTATCTGATCTTCGTTTATCTTTGGTAAATTTTATCTATCAAGAAACTTATCCATTTCTATTAAATGTTCCAATTTTGGGAAGTATGGGTTTTTAGAAGTATGACCTAATGATTCTCTGGATTTCCATGGTGTCTGTTGTTATACCCCCCTTCTTCACTTTTTATTTGCTAATATGTATATTCTCTCCTTCTCTTAGTAAGTTTAGACAAAGATTTGTCATCTTCTGATATTCTCAAATAACCAACTTTTGCTTCATTGATTCTTTGTATTCTCTTTGTTTCTATTTTATTGATTTCAGCCCTCAGTGTGATTATTTACTGCCATATACTCCTCTTGGTTGTGCTCATTTCTTTTTCTTCTAGACTTTTCAGGTGCACTGTTAAGTTGCTAGTGTGAGATCTCACCTGGGGTATTTTTTTCAATGTAGGCACTTAGTGCTATAAGCATTCCTCCTATCATCCCTTTTGTGTGTGTCCCATAAAGTTTGGATATGTTCTGTATTCATACTCACTGAATCCTGTGGAGTCTTTAATTTCTTTCTTTCTTTATGTTTCTTTTACTTCAGAAGAGAGTTGTTCTGTTTCCATGAGTTTCTAGTCTTTCTGTTGTTTTGTTATTTTTGGAACCCAGCATTAATCTGTGGTGGTCTTGTATGATACAGGGAGTTATTTCAATTTTCTTATATCTGTTGATACTTGTTTTGAGACAAAATGTGTGACAATTTTTAGAAAGTTCCATGAGGTGCTGAGAAGAAGGTATATTATTTTGTGTTTGGGTGAAATGTTCTGTAGATATCTGTTAAGTACATTTAGTTTACAATATCTTATTTCTAGTATTTCTCTGTGTAGTTTCTGTCTTGATGAACTGTCCATTGGTGAGAGTGGGATATTGAAGCCTCCCATTATAATGTATGATTTAAGCTGTAGTAATGTTTCTTTTACAAATATGGGTGCCCTTGTGTTTGGGGTATAGATGTTAATAATTGCAACAAGTTAAATTTTTCTATGATGAGTATGAAGTGTCCTCTGTTTTGTTTTGGTTTTTGTTGTCAATTATATTAACTTTCTGTGTTTCTTATTGAATAATACGGTTACTTCTACAAACTTTGGTTTGAATTTTACACATTAGAATGCCTATACCAGCTTCTTTCTTAGGTCCATTTGCTTGGAAACTCTTTTTCCAGCACTTTACTCAGAGTTAATGTCTATCTTTGATGTTGAGGTGTGTTTCTTGCATGCAGCAGAAGGATAGATCCTCTTTCCCCATCTATTTAGTAAGTCTATATCTTATTATTGTTGCATTGAGTCCATTTTTTTCTGTTTTCTTTATTATGTAGCAGGGCACTTCCTTTTCTGCTCCAATCTATTTGGTTTTCAATATGGTTCTTGAACCTTTCTAGGTACTCCTTATGTTAGGAAAATTTTTTCTATGGTTTTGTTTAAAATATTTTCTGAGTCTTTGAGCTGTGAATATTCTTCTATTTCTATTATGCCTGGGTTTTGTCTTTTCATAATGACCCAGATTTCCTAGATGTGTTGTATCAAGAATTTTTTGATTAAACATTCTCTTTCATTAATGTATATATTTCTTCTATTATATCATCAATGTCTGAGATTCTCTCTTCCATCTCTTGCATCCTGTTGGAGAAGCTTGCCTCTGTAATTCCTATTCACTTACTTAGATTTTTTATTTCTAGAATTCCCTCAATTTGTGTTTTCTATATTGCTTCTATTTTCTCTTTCTGGCGGTCTTGAACAATTTTATTCATTTCCTTCAGCTGTTTATTATTTTCTTGGCTTTCTTGAAGGTATTTATTCATTTCCTCCAATTTTTTATTTGCTTTTCCTCAATTTCCTTAAGAAATGTATTCATTTTTTCTTTAGTGAACTCAATCATCTGCATAAAGCTGTTTTTCAGGTCTTTTTCTTGTGCTTTGGCTATGTTGGATTATTTAGGGCTTGATGTAGGAGGATAGATGTGCTCTGATGGTGATATGTTGCCTTGGCTGTTGTTGACTTTGTTCATATCATGAATGTAGGCATCTGAGTTTATGGTGATTATAGATCTAGATACAGGTTTCTCAATTTGTCTTTGTTGGATGAGTGTTTTGTTCCTTGGTTTCTGTTTTCTCTATGGTCTTGTGGCAGTTGTAGCCTGTGGTTGAGCAGGGAGGGTGGAGGATCTTCAAGTACGTTGGACTTGACTTCTGGTATTTGGATTGCCCTCTTGTCTAGAAGGCAATCTTTGAGTTTGGGGCTGGGACAGGGTGAAGAGGAGTGGTGGAGTAATTGTAGATATGGTAGAGGCACCGAGAAATTGTGTGGGGAGGCCCATTGTCATGTGGCCTACCTGGAGACTTCTGGTTACAAATTTGGACTCATGGTCACAGGAACTTGATACACTTCATCAACATTGACCAACATCTCCAGGCACTTTTCACTTTGCCTATTGGTAAGAATCATCCAAGATCATGGCAACAAGGTTGTAGATGGAGAGACTAATGCAGCACCAGCACAAGCATAAAGAACTGATATATGACTTTGTTCACCCAAAACCCAGG